TTGTGTTTTTGATGAACACGTTAAAAAAAACTATCTCTCTCTCTCTCTCACACGGATAAAGATTCAGAAACGAGTGCTAGCTGAGACTCAGAGTTCTCGGAGCTCCGATAACGGGTCCTGGACTTCTTAGCGGACATCCGACCTGATGATATAGGATAACTCAGCGACATCCACGGCGAATTTGATATTGCAACAGAAACCTCACTGTTTCTCATCAACAGTCGTTCAACATCGTCATTTCCCCAGCGTGCGCGGTGTCTTTTATTCTTGGCTTTAGTTTGAGCCTCAATTCCCCAAGTGAACTCGTTGTTACATTCATTTTTATCATTATGCTATTGTCCTGTGCTTGGATTATCTGTGTGAATGGGTGTTGTATCACTACCGTAAAGTTTACGCTCATACAAAATTCACAGAGTTGACAAGGTCTTTTGCGTTTCCATTATTTGGTCCTCATAGATCATCTATTTCGCAAAACTTTTGCTCCGAGAAAAGATCATCTTAAAGCTAAATCGGGAGGGGGGAGAGGGGGGTCCACTGTTGCAGAACAGTCCATCGGAGCAGATAAAAAGTGTGAATACCTCCAGTTGGTGGAGGTACAGGAAGAAATCATTCAGAATGATGTTCGTGCAACAGCAGAAATAACAATTATTTATGTACAAATGCATATTACATTCAATTTGCAAAATTTAACCTTTTCTGTTGATATTCCGGTAAAATCTCAAGCAAAAGCTTATCGAGATTCAGAGTAGACTCGGTGACGCTGCCGAGACTGGCGGGGTCGATAATCTGAGATAAAGGTCCTCAAAAGAATCTTTAGTTATTTCGGGAACCACAAAAGCTAGGAGGCCGGAATTTTAGGACAGTGTCCCTGCTCACATAAAACTCCATAAATTCGAATTCAGTTTTCACGTGAGCCTGGGTCTCGCGTACGGTTCCGTGAAAGTTTTAGCGGGAAAAATTATTATCTCGGGAGCGGGAAGGGCTGGGAGGTTGAAAATTTCAGAGGATGTTCTCTC